ACAGTGTCTCCAACACTCGCCATCACAGGCAGAAATGCAACACACATACCCATTTCCAAACTTACAAACCAGTGACCTGACAGTAACCACCAACAGTGTGGTGCCAAGACGGAACCCAGACCTCCAGCACACTAAAGCAAGCGCTGTACGTTGACCACACCCCCACTCAACTTCTTTTTATATTTTGTTGCACTTATTTGTTATTTCTGCGTATGCATGTGTGTAGGCATTTGCTGTGGTCACAAGCCTGTGGAGATCAGAGGACAACTCGTGGAAGTGGGTTCTTCTTCACCTAGTGTCCTCCCAACGACTTCTTGTAAAACACACAGGCGTCCAAACATTGGGGCACAAATTTGCACAAGTATACATACAGGTCCACCGACCATCAAACACAAAAGCACAGATACAGAACTGTCCTCCAGTGCCCTACACTCTTCCCCTCCCTCCTTCCCTCCCTCTGCCCCACTCTCCTATCTCCTCCCACTCCTCTCTCCCCTCCCCCACCCCGAACTTGAACTTCATAGATGGGAAAACCAGGGCACTGAGGGCTGAAGGGACTTTGAAGATGGAAGCTCCTCCGGACCCCAGGCAGAGGCTAAGACCGGGCGCCCCCTTCTGGCCCGGCCCTGCAAGAGCGTGCGGGGCCGCGGCGGCGCGCGGGGTGGGCACGCGCCCGATGTAACCATGGCACCCTCTTGGCACGCGCGGCCCGCGCGCGGGGAGGGCGGGGCGGGCGCGTTGCCATGGCGCCGGCCGGCCTCCGGAATGCCGCATTGTTCACCGCGGCGCCCCGGTTGGGCTGTCCCGGACCCACCCGGACCCACCCGGGCTGGCAGAGATGGAGTGCAACGAATATGGAGAGACAGTGATAGGGAGAAATGCGGAGAAGATAGGAAGGAAGAGGTGGACAGAGAGCAACAAGATTCAGGGCAAGGAGACACGGAAAAAGAGGGCGGAGTGAGAGAAATAGGTCTTATAAGGAGGAGAAAGGGGACAGACCAACACAGTGACACACAAGTGTAAATCCTACGGGGGCAGCCGAGGCTCATGAGTTCCAGGCCAATGTCTCTTGTGCTGGGAGGGGGTGGGTGGTGAGGCAGCGAGGAGCAGCTGAGGAGATGGCTCGGCTGGCAAAGAGCGATCACGAGAACCTGAGTTCGGCTCCCTATCACTCATGTAAAAAAACCAGGCAGGATGGGAGCACAGGCCTGTAAGCCTGGGAAGGCAGAGGCAGGTGGATTCCAGGGAACGCTGGCCATCTAGCCTTCCAGATTCAGCAAAAGACCCTGTGTCGAAAAAATTGAGATGGAAAGCGGGTGTGGTGGTGAGTACCTTCAGTCCCAGCACAGGCAGGCAGAGTTCTGTGAATTCCAGGCCAGCGCCGTCAATATGGTGAGTTTCAGGCCAGACAAGGCTACATAGTGACACCCAGTCTGAGAAGGAAAAGAGTGAGGAAACTTGAGGAACACAATTAAGGTCATCCTCTGGCCTCCATAGGCGTGTGTGTGTACGCGGTGCACGCGCGCGCGCGCGCGCGCACACACACACACACAAGCACATGTGTATGTTAGAGAAAGGGGCAGGTGGGAGAGAGACAAGGAGAAAGTAACGTTTAAAATCCAAGAGGAAGAGCTGAGATGAGGGGGATGAGAGGGAAACGGGAAGAACAGAGGGAGAAGGACAAGCAGAAGCCGAGCCAGCGAGCAAGATGGAAGAGAACAGATTTGAGCAGGAGGGCACGAGACTCAGGGGCTTCACTGCACCTCTTGGTGTGCCTCGCAATAGGACCAGGCAGGGATGGGACCCCAAGTGAGAGGAGTCTGGGTTCAGAGAGACTGGTGGGTCTGCTCATGGGTTGACAGAGGAAGGACCAGATGTGTCCAGACACAGCGAATGTCCCGAGGAGGCCTAGAGATTCATCTCTGATGCCCTTCCCCACTCCACTGGCACAACTGGACACTCCCAGAATGTCCACCTCGTCCTGCTAATAAGGCATCATTCACACAGAGACACAGCCTTCCGGATACTGCTCCTGACACTCCGGAATACCTTCCCCCAGGGACACACTGTAGTTCTTACAGTGCTTACAGGCACACCCATAGCAACCACTTGACATAATCATAGACATGTGGCATGTGACAGGGACTCCTACTACACCTCAGAGACACAGAACACACCGGACTTCATTGCAATCATCCTGTGATCAGCTAACATCACACACCTTGGAGCCAAGGCATGGTGACACACATCTTTAATCCCAGGACTCTGGAGGCAGAAGCAGGTAGATCTCCGTGAGTTCAAGGCTAGCCTGGTCTACAGAGTGAGTTCAAAGACAGCTAGGGCTACATACAGAATAGAGGAGACTCTGTCTCAAGAAAAAAAATCCCACCCCTTTACAGGTTAATGGTACTGCTGTCACAAGGGGCCACCATCTCCTTCTCAGATGTTCTTCAACAGCCCACAACCTGTCCAAGAGAAACACTTTTGTAGGACTGAGGGGGCACTGGGCAAACTATTCAGATTTGAGTGGTGGGAGCTGAAAGGCATGAGTCCTCACATGAGATTTGAAGTGGAAGGGGAGAGTAAGGAAGTCACTCCCAGTCTCCCTCAAAAAATTGGGTCATGCCGGTCCTTGTGGCCCCACAGCTAGGTCAGTCTAGCCCAAATCTAGACCAAGGGCGGCCCCTGGTGGTCAAATGTTGTCTCTACACTGATCTTTAGGGGCTGTGATTGAAGACAAGAAAGTCCAGGATGAGCACACAGAGATAAGAGTCCAGACCCAGAACTCAGCCTAGGTAATCCATGTCCTAGAATTCATAATCACGGTCTAGGTTATGGGGGTCAGGGGTGTGGCTGAGCAGTAAAGCACCTGCTTAGAATCCTCCAATGAGATTCTGGGGACAGGTATGTGCAGGTATCTCCAGAATCTGAAAGAAGAGACTCTAGACCCCAATAATTCTGAGATGTAGGAAAGCAGATCCAAAATGCAGGACCAACGATCTAAAACCAGATTCACGTTCTAGAATCCAGAATCCAAAATTCTAGATCTGCCAGACAGTGGTGGCCCACACCTTTAATCCCAGCACTCAGGAGGCAGAGGCAGGTGGATCTCTGTGAGTTCGAGGCCAGCGTGGTCTACAGAGTGAGTTCCAGGACAGCCACGGCTGTTACACAGAGAAGCCCTGTCTTGAAGGGAAAAAAGTCTAGATCCCCATTGTTTAGAACTGGAATCTTGAACTGAGAACACAGTTCCAAGAACAGAGAAACCACAACCAGGCCCGCACTATCCAGAGCCCTGGGTCTTTGTCAGAACTCTCTGGATCAGAGGCCGACTGTTGAGGGCAGGAACAGACTGAAGGGGCAGAAGAGAATCTGGGGTGAATGTCCACAGCCTCTGCCAGCTGCTGCTGCTTCTTACACACACACACACACACACACACACACACACACACACACACACACACACGCCACTCTGAAAGGATCTCACACACAAATCCATACCCCCACCACACAGTCTGTAACTGTAAGAGCACACCCACAATCACACATACTCCAAGCACTTACACCCTAACACACACCATCATCCAAAGTCAGATTAAGTCTCCACCACTTCTCTTTTAGCACACCCACATTCCTGCTTACCTAGGCACCGGCACAGTGTCATAGCCGTTGCCCTCCTCCCACCCTACCAAACCCTCAGACACACAGCCACCACTCAGAACAAACCCTGAGATCCCAGTCCTGTGCCAGACACACTAGGGGAGAACAGCTAAGGAGGCTAGGATGGGTGTGTGTATACTCATATTGTGTGAGCACACACACAGAGTGCAGAGAAGCTTCACGCCTTGGCAGCTAGACAACCCCTGGGAACCAGACCCCAGGGATGGGGCTCACCGTGCACCCCCTTACCCACCCCAGCCCTCCCCTGCCTGGCCGGCTGGCGGGCTTTAATACAGATGCCAAACTCATAATTGTAACTGAGGGTGACAGGGTCACCTTGAGCCCCAGATGCTCGCACGATGACAGATGGCGTTGGCAAACCTGATTAGCGGCCCTCGGTGCCAGAGCCTGTGGCACCTGCCTCCCCGCCCCTCCCCCCGCTCCCCCAGCACTCATTACCCACCCATTACTGGGCCTGGGGGGCAGCAGCGGGGGCCGACTGGCACTGCCTGGGAGAGCGCAGTGACTCTGGGCCCCCCTGGCACCAAGGTTCCCAGCTGGCTCTCCAGGCTGGCAGGAGGTGGGCACAGCTGAGGTGGAGGGATGCAGGCATCTTGTGCCCGCCAGAAAAGGGGTGCCAGGGCTGAGCTGCCAGCTCAGACACTGCATGAGGTTGGCCACCAAGCTCTAGGGACAGGCAGGAGGGCGCCCCCCACCCCCAGGGCTCCATGACCCCCCCTCTAGGACGCTCTTGAGAGCTGGCTGTCAGGCAGGTTCCCACCCCTCTGTTCAGGCCTGTGAGGTCAAGGGTCGCAGCTCCCACGCTGTGCTGTCCCATCTGTTTCCTTGTGGGGGGCCCTCCTGTTCCCCTCACCTGGAGCCTTCCTTCCTGAGGCAGGAAGAAAGGCGGGAGGGGGGCACTTGACCAGCTCCCTCCACCCTGCACTGGGGGTAGGGGCATTTGGAGGCGACGCTGCCACATGTCTCTGAGTCTCTGCCAAACGGCCCCATCTGCCAGAGCCCTGGTTCCAGCCGCCCAAAGCTAGGCCGCCTGGCTGCCGCACACCCTGCCCCCTAGCTGAGGAGGGAGCCCCCTACCCAGGAAACCCAGTCAGAGGGACGCACGCACAGCTGGACTTGGCCAACCTTTATGATTCCCGTGGAATGCCAAGCTGGGGGTGGGCTGCTGCGGGGACTCGGGTGGGGCAATAAGGGAAACCCCAGCCTCTGTCAATGAGAGAGGCAGCTGCGCACACTTGGGGTCGCCTCTGGCTGGGGCCAGGTTTTCCAAGCAGCTGCTTCCCGCTTGCCTGCCATGGTTTTTTTGTTGTTGTTGTTGCTGCTGCTGCTGCTGCTGCTGCTGTTTTTCTGGTGTCCCTAGAACGGGGTCATCTTTGCTGAGTGTCCGTGTTTGGGTGATGCTGTCATCCTAGGAGTTAGGAGTGTCTGGCTCGGACAGAGAGACGCAGTGCCACCTCGTGGTCAGCAGCGGAACCCCAGGCTGGGGGAGGGGCTCAACGGGGAGCTGTGTTGCGCGTGTGCACGGCCTGTGTCTCGACCCCCACCCCCAAAACAGTGACAGTGCCTCAAGGGCTGCTTTGGTTTCCTCATCTGCACAATGACCTGTGGTGAAGTCCTACCCTGCAGGACTGCTGAGGATTGACTCTTGAGGATATGTGAGTTAGTGCTTGTGGAAGGAATAGTCCCTCCCTCACAGTGCCCTGTGAATCACACACTACAGCTAATTTTCACTTTTTCCCTCCACATATCCCCGTGCTAAGAATGGAACCCAGGGCTTCATACATGGTAGGCAAGCCCTTTCCCGCTGAGTTACACCCCAGCCCCATATGCTATGACTATTAGTGGTCTAAACCCATGACTGGGGAACCGTGTCTCATGTTCCAGGAGCAAGATGAGGACCTTGTGGACCTGTCCGTCTGTCCTTCTAACCCTGCTCTCTTGACCTGATGTACATAATTCAGGTCACGTCTTTCTACAGCATCTCCTGTTTCTTTCCGATCCTCCACGACACTCAGCTCACAGCTTCGGACCACACTGGCACTTCTGCACTAGGGTGACAGTCATCCTCACTCGCCGAGGGGAGGCTGCGTGGCCAGCCCCACACCACAGCACCACCGATGTCCAGCGCTTTTGAGCTGGCACACAGCTGTTGCAGAGGACGACCGGGGTGGGATCCGAGCTGGGAATGTAGAAGGAGGAACAATGTCCGAAACACAGATGATTAAGGACCCTGGCGGCTGTGCAACCAGGCCTGGAGAGCACCTGCAAGCAGAGACAGGGGGACAGTCAGCACTGTGCAGTCTAGGGCCAGAGGGATGAAAATAATTACCATCCACTTCTACCCCGACAGAAAGGTGTGGGTGCTGAAGGCAGATGGCCTGGATTTAAATTCTGAACCTTCCTTCTGGCTGTGTGGCCTGCAGGAAGTTATTCAACCGTTCCAAGCCTCTTTCTCGGATAAAATCATTCGAATCAAGGACTGGGGAGAGTCAGTAAAATGATGTGGTGCAAGCACGAGGACCCAAGTTCAGATCCCCAGCACCCACATAAACTAGGATTCAGGCTGGAATCTCAGCACTAGGAAAGGAAGACAGACCTGGGCTTGCTGGCCAGCCCAGCCTAGCCGAATTGGTGAGCTCCTGGGTCAATGAGAGTGCTTGTCAGATAAGGCATGAGGGAGCTGGAGAGGCGGCTCAGTGGTTAAGAGCGCTAACTACTCTTCTACAAGACCTAGGTTCAATTCCCAGCACCCATGTGGCAACTCACAACTTCTCCAGGGGTCTAACACCCTCTTCTGGGCACCAAGCATGCTGATAGCACACAGATATATGTGCAGGCAAAACACTCATAAAATTAAAATAAATTTTTTTTTTTAAGGAACAAAGCAGTTAAGGACCCTGACATCAACCCCTGTCCTTTGCACACATGTGTGCCCTCACACACACTCCCATACGAAAGCCATCCAAATTAAACTGGAAAGCTGGGCCTGGTGGTGCAGACACGCACATCACAGACTTTGTGGGGGCCGAGACTGGGGATCTCAAGATCAAGACCCATTTGGGAAACTTACTGAGACCCTGTGTCAAAATAAATAGAAAAACAAAACTGGGGCGTAGCTCAGGAGCAGAGCACTTAGCTAACATGAACAAGACTTGGGCTCCATCCCCAGCACCACAGAAGAAGAAAAGTCTGGGCTGGAGAGATGGCTCAGAGGTTAAGAGCCCTGGCTGCTCTTCCAGAGGTCCTGAGTTCAACCAACCTGAGGTTGCTGAGGTCCCAGCAACCACATGGTGGCTCACAACCATCTGTAATGAGATCTGGTGCCCTCTTCTGGCCTGTAGGCATACATGCAGGCAGAACACTGTATACATATAAATAAATAAATCTTAAAAAAAAAAAAAAAAAGAAAAGAAAAGTCAAGGTAGGGGCGGCTAGAGATGACCCATCAGAGCACTGGTGACTCTGTCCCCACACTGTGGCTCACAGTCACCCGTAACTCCAGTTCTGGGGGGTCTGACATCACTGCCAGGCTTCTATAGGCGTGAGGCACACCCATGGTGTACACACTGATAGGAGGTAAAATACACACATCAAATCTTTTTTTTTTTTTTAATCAAGCTGGGTTCGGTGACTCATACCTATAATCCAAGAACTTGGGAGGCTGAAGGAATGCTGCCATGAGTTTGAGACCAACCCTGGCTGCTCAGTGAGTTCTATGCCAGCCTGGGCTACAGTGTGAAACCCTGTCTTTTTTATTGCTTAAAATTAAATTTATTTTGTCAGGGTGAGGGGTGGTAGGGTTCACGTGCCATGGTGCCCATGTGGAAGTCAAAGACAGATTGTAGGAATCAGTTCCTTTCTTCCATCGTATGGGTCCCAGGAATCAAATTCAGATAGTCAGATTTGCTGACAGCGCCCTTACCTGCTGGACCATTTCTCTACCCTCTGAAATACTAAACACACACACACACACACACACACACACACACACACACACACACACCATAGCGGTCAGCAAGATGGCTCAATGGGCAAGGCCACTACAAATCTGATAACCTGAATTCAATTCCTGTGACCCACACAATGAAGAGAACCAGTTCCCACAAGTTGTCCTCTGCCCTCCACACTTGGGTCATGGAACACCCATGCACACATACACATATGTGTACCCACAAAATAAGTATAATTACATTTTTTGAGATAGGAGCTCACTACATTACCCTAGCTAGCTAGGAACTTGCTGCATAGACCAGGCTGGCCTGGAATTCCCAGAGAACCACCTGCTTCTGCTTCCCAAGGGCTGGGATTAAAGGCATGCAACACCAAGCTCAGAAAATTTTAAAAAGGGCCGGGCGGTGGTGGCGCACGCCTTTAATCCCAGCACTCGGGAGGCAGAGCCAGGCGGATCTCTGTGAGTTCGAGGCCAGCCTGGTCTCCAAAGCGAGTTCCAGGAAAGGCGAAAAGCTACACAGAGAAACCCTGTCTCGAAAAACAAAAAACAAAAAACAAAAAAAAAAAAAAACAAAAAAAAAAAAAGAAAATTTAAAAAGGAAAAGAAGAAACTACTTGAAACTTTTTTTTTTTTTAAAGATTTATTTATTATGTATACAGTGTTCTGCCTGCATGCCAGAAGAGGGTGCCGGATCTCATTGCAGATGGTTGGGAGCCTCCATGTGGTTGCTGGGAATTGAACTCAGGACCTCTGGAAGAACAGCCAGTACTCTTAACCTCTGAGCCATCTCTCCAGCCCTACTTGAAACCTTTTTAAAAATTTGTTTATTGTTTTTGAGATAGGTCTCATGTACCCCAGGCTGGCCTCAAACTCACTATTTAGCGGAGGTTGGCCTTGAACTCCTTAACCTTTTGCCTCAGCCTCCCAAGTGTTCCACTAATACATGCCCAAGGCCCTGGGTTCCACTCCCAGCACTGGAAGAAAAAGAACAGATAATCCTTGCCCACCCCCTTGCTGGCCCCCACTAAACCCAGACTTGACGCTGAGACCAATGATGATACGTCCCTATTTCCAAATGAGGAAACTCAGGCTCGGAGCTGTCCGAGACCACACAGCCACAGGGAAAGCTGCCAACCTAAGTGTCCTGTGTCATCGGGGGCAGGTGCCCCTCTGGGCTCAGCAGAGGTGCAGCCATTGGCTGGTAGGCAGCAGATGCAGAATGTGGAGTGGGCATGGTGATGTGTGTAACCCCAGGACTCAGAAACACGGGGTCACAAGTTCCAGGCCAGCCTGGACTATTTGGTGAGACCTATCTTGAAAGGAAAAAATAGATTTGGGGCAAAACAGATTAATCGAGGTCTTCTGAATTCCAAGGTTCAATAGGCAAATACCAAGCCAGGGGGTTTGGGGAAGTGGTTCCCTACCGAGCATAGCCAGAGGAACTCTACACCTGAGATCATTGCCTCTGTTAAATGGGAGTGCGGAAAGGGAGAAGGCAAGCTACAGACACCAACAGTGAAGCAGGATTTGAACTCGGCATAGAATGAGAAATCCCCAGGGACTAGAGAGATGGCTCAGAGGTTAAGAGCACTGACTGCTCTTCCAGAGGTCCTGAGTTCAATTCCCAGCAACCACATGGTGTCTCACAACCATCTGTAACGAGATCTGGTGCCCTCTTCTGGCGTGCAGGCACCTGTATACATAATAAATAAATCTTAAAAAAAAAAAAAAAAAAAAAAAAGAAAGAAAGAAAGAATGAGAAATCCCAAAGCCCTTCTGGAACACCAACTGAATGCAGATATGAGATTGTTTCTTTTTTTTTTTTTTTTTTTTTTTTTTTGGTTTTTCGAGACAGGGTTTCTCTGTGTAGCTTTGTGCCTGTCCTGGAACTTGCTTTGGAGACCAGGCTGGCCTCGAACTCACAGAGATCCGCCTGGCTCTGCCTCCCGAGTGCTGGGATTAAAGGCGTGCGCCACCACCGCCCGGCGAGATTGTTTCTTGTTCAGCTGCTCCACAGCCCAGAAAGGCATGTGCTACTAGTCATTCATGCATTCATTCATTCATTCATTCATTCAACAAACACCGAGTGTCCACTGTTTGCCTGGCCCTGTTGTAGGGCATGGGGACAGGTATATTGAAAAGAACAAAATCAAATAACCTCTGCCCTGGGTTGGGGGATGTAGCTCAATAGGTAGAGTACTGCCGGCGCATGTCTTTAATGCCAGCACTGGGGAGGCAGAGGCAGGCAGACCTTTGTGAGTTTGAGGCCAGCCTGGTCTACAGAGTGAGTTCCAGGACAGGCTCCAAAGCTACACAGAGAAACCCTGTCTCGAAAAACCAAACAACCAACCAACAAACAAAAATAGGTAGAGTACTTACCTAGCATTTTTGAGGTACTGGGTTCCACCTCCAGCACCACACAAACTGGGCTGTGGTGCACACCTGTAATCCCAGCATATAGGAGGCAGAGGCAGGAGGATAGACGTTTACAGCCAGCCCCAAGCTACATAAGACTTGGGCTAAAACAACAAAGCTTCTGCTCTGAGATGAATGTGGTCACTCACACCTATGATCCTAGGAGAAGGATCACTGAGCTACAGGGCAGTCTGCAATACTTAGCAAAACCCTACTTACACACACACACACACACACACACACACACACACACACACACACGAGTGTGTATCATGGGTCAGGAGCGGAGTGAGGAGAATGGGGTAGCCAAAGTCAGGGAGGTCAAAGAATGTAGAACCTTGTGAGCTCTGAGAACCTGGGCTTTTGTTCAGAGAAAGGAGAGAGCCGTGAGGGTTTGGAGGGGAACAAGGGACATATATTTGTCAACAGCCTCTTCCTGGCTGTTAAGTAGGAAAATGGATTCAGCAGTCGCAGACGTGGTTCAGGTGGTGCAGTTGGCCTCCCATGCATGAGGCCCTGGTTCCTGAACCTAGATGTGGTTGCATATGCCTGCAAACCAGCACACGTGAAGTGAAGTCAGAAGTGGGGTCTTCAGATCATTTGGCTACACAGAAGTCAGCCTGGGCTACATAAACCCAGCCTCAAGCTCATTTTAGCTACACAGAGGTCAGCCTGGGTTACAGGAGCCAATGTCTCAACAACAACAACAACAACAACAAATGGAGAGGGGAAAAGGAAATAGATTTGATGAAGATGGAGTAACCTGAAGTTCATAGGCATTTAAACGAAAGATTCAGGACTTGAGACTTGACTGCAGATCTGCCTGAGGCCACATAACCTGTGCTCTGTACGAGGCAGAGGGTGTCCTCCTCCTCCTCCTCCTCCTCCTCCTCCTCCTCCTCCTCCTCCTCCCCCTCCTCCTCCACCACCACCACCGCCTCCACCACCACCACCTCCACCACCACCTCACCTGAATAAAGGCCACAGCTTTACATGTCTCCTGGAGCACTTCCTGGGGGACCAAGGGCAAAGACACACCAGCAGCCTCTCTCTGCCCTCCCTGCAGCCCACCTGCTCCTTGCTGTTTGTCTTGTAGGCTCAAGAAGGCCTTCCAGCTACCCAGGGCAGAGGCTGGTACCAGAGGATCCAGAGTCCAGCTCTGATTGGCAGCAGCCCAGGCCTGAGTAGGGGTAGATGGAACCCTAGGCCTCCCTGAGCCTGTGGGTAGCCACGCCCCACTGAACAGACCCAGCAGCGTGATTAACTGGCCACGGAGCATCACTTAGCTGTGCGGTTGTCAGTCAGTCTTGGAGTGGGCTCAGGGTCCTGGGCAATGGACCCTGCTGTCCAGAGTGTGAGTCTGGGTTCTCAGAGGTCTGCTTTTCACCACTGTCTCCTCCCGGCAGCCCAGAGGTGGTTCTGGGAGCTCCCAGCAGGGAAGGAAGGCAAGCTGACCTGTCCAATCCCACAGCTCCTCCCAGCCTGCTGCGAGTCCCAGTGGGGGCTGAGCCTGCTCCATGGGGACCATGAGAATCAAGGAAGGCAGGTCTAGGGGACAGAGGCTTAGGAGTCTTTTGAATCCTGAGACCCCCATTTATCCACTTAGTGACATCACACCCTTCAGTGACTTTGAGGTTCTATGCTCTGCCCTGCAGTTTCTTGGCTGTGCACCCTCATGGAAGGTCATTAACCACTCCGGGCTTCAGCTCCCTCTTCTGGAGTATGATGCTGGTAACATCTCTCCCTCAGAGACTGGAGAGAGGACTCAGAAAGACCTGAAAGACCAGGTGTTGATACACACTGGTCGCATAAGCCCATTATGTTTTTTTCTTCCTGTTCTGAGGCGGGAACCCTTAGGAATGATAAGCTGGGAGCTCTCTCTGCGACACCCCTGCGCCCAAACAATGAGTTAACATGACTGCTATTACTGTCTTTCGGGGTGAGAGGGTTGAGACAGGACTTCCCAGCCCAGACTGGCTATAACCTTGGGCTTCTTCCACCTCATTCTCTTGAGTGCAGAGATTAGAGGAATGGGCCACAACTTTCCTATCTGTCATCCCAGCACATGAGAGGCTGAGGCAGGGGGATCAGAAGTTTAAGGGCAGCCTGGGCTAAAGAGTGATTCTGTTTCAAAGGAAAAAAAATGAATGGAACGAGCTTTACAGGGGTCAGGGTATGGGTTTCTGATCCCAGGGCAGTCAGGGAAGACCCCTGGAGAAGGTGACACTTTTACAGAGAGCTGAGATGCTGATGCAGGCATGGGAACAGAGTGGTGGGAAGTACACAAAGGATGTGAGATTGTGCCCCAGGCTCTGGGGGCCTCGAGGCGCCTGGGGGGTCCAGCCCTAGCACCTCAAAGGCATGCATCTCACACCCAGGTGAGGAGGGGCAAGGCCAGGCCGCAGGAGCGTGAGAAGCTGCGGCCTGGGTCTTTCCCGCGGCCCGCTCGCCATCTGGCGGCAGCCCCCGGGACTGCGTGGTCGCCGTGCCCCGACACCCGCCTCCACGCGGACTCTTACCCCAACCCATCCTTTCTGCTGTCCTCCAGCCAAGGCCAGTTCCATCCTGCCAGAGACTGAAGCGCCAAATGTCGGGCGGCCTTGACCCTCTCTCTGCCGTCTCCGTCCCACTTCTCACTTCTGCCTTCTGCATGCTGGGATTAAAAGCTTGCACTTTCACTCTGGACCTTACTATGCCACTTTTTAAGAGGCTTGAGCACCTAGGGCAGCTATTCTCAAACTGTGGATCAAGACCCCTTTGGAGGGGAGGTCACATATCAGATATCCTGCATATCAGATATTTACATTACGATTCAAAGAGTGGCAAAATTTACAGTTATGAAGTAGCAACAAAGTAACTCTAGGGGGGTCACCACAACATGAGGAACTGTATTAAAGGGTCGAAGCGTTAGGAAGGTTGAGAACCACTGACCTAGCACTTTGGAATCCACAAGGCACCAGAAAGCCACGCCGCACAGTAGAGGACTAGAGTAAGACTGGGAGTCCTAGAGAGAAGCCTGAGCAGTTAAGAACTCTTGCAGAGGACTTCAGTTCAGTTCCCAGCACCAAGTAACTACAGCTCCATGGGATCCCACACCCTTTGAGCCTCCAGGGGCACCGCACTCATGCACATAACCACACATAGATGTACACATTCTAGATGTAGAACATTTTAAGCAAATGTTCTACCACTCACCTATACTCAAACCCTCAAGAATCCTTGCTTTTAAGTACAATTCCCAGGTCAAGATGTCTCAGTGGGTAGGTGTGCTTGCCATTCGAGCCTGGCAACCTGAGTTACACCCCTGGAAGTAATGCACTGACCCCACAAAATTGTTCTCTTACAGATGTGTGTGGCATGCACACCCACATACACACACATGCACACACAGACACATACCTAATGAATTTTTCAATTTTTAAAAATGTTACTTTAATGTGTGTGAATGTTCTGCCTTTGTTTAGGTTTGTGCACTGTGTACATGCCTGGTGCCCTAAGGGGCAGAGTCACTATCTCCCCTGGAACCAGAGCTACAGAGCATCCGAGGACAGCTTGCGGGAGTCCATTCTCTCCTTCCACCGTGTGGATTCTGGGGATCACACTCCAGCTGTCGGGCTCTGCTGAGCCATGTTGCTGGCCCTGCCCCTTGATTTTTACGTGAACTATTACAAGCATTCAGCTAAGTGAAGACAAATTGCAAAACCATCCCAGACACATTGTCACCCTAGGGAAGGCCCCTGAGATGGCCCAGAGGGTCAAAACACTTGCCACTAAGCCTGATGACCCAAGTTCAATACCCAATACACACATGGTGAGAAGAGATAGCGGAGTCCCCCAAATTCTCTCCTGATTGCCACATCTGCACTGTGGGTTGTGGACACACAAGAAATAAATGTAATAGTTTTTAAGATGGTGGTGGTGTTCCCTTTAATTCTAGCACTTGGGAGGCAGAGTCAGGTGGGTCTCTGTGAGTTCGAGGTGAGCTTAGTCTACGAAGTGAGTTCCAGGACAGCCAGAGCTACATAGTGAGACCCTGTCTAAAGGGGAGGGGGGAGGCTTTCATTTGTACATATTTTTCCCATTTTGATTTTAACGGATTTATTCATTTTGACATGGTCTCACTTTGAATCCCTGGCTGGCATGGAACTTGATATGTAGACCAGGTTTGCCTCAAGACTTCTGACTCCCTTAGGGCTGAGATTTAAGGTGTGTACCACCACAGTGGGCCCAAGATCAAACTCCTTTTTTTTTTTTTTTCTTTTTTGGAAGTGTCTGGGACAAGGCAAAACTTACTCTCTTCCAAGAGGGTGCATTCAGAAGAGCAAACAGAGAGATAGGAAGTGCACTTAGTTTTTATTCTCGCTCAGGTGGTAACTGTGTCTTTTCTGCATTGGCTGGGGTCAAAGATCAAGCTCTCAAAGCATTGCTCTTATATTTCAAAATGGTCACAGTTCTGCTTAGAAAGTGTACACTCACATGTTTTACAGCGGGTTAAACCAAAATGCTGTAATTACCAACATGCTATCACTTTTGAATCATCGACATGGCTCCTATATTTGAGTTTTAAAAAAAAAGCATGTTTCTAGACATGAATCTGAAGCTTTCAGTGTTCTGCGGTATGAGACATTCATTCACATAAACAAAACAGTTGTAGCCTTAAATATGCCCACTACTCAAGCACAGGCCTCCAACAACAACAAAAGATCGAGGTTAAAACAACCTTTGAAGATTTATTTTTATTTATTAGCACATGCCTGCCACATGTATGCAGGCACCCTCAAAGGCCAGAAGGCCAGAGAAGGTCACTGGACCCCTGGAGCTGGAGTTATGTGTCAGGAGACTTTACATGGTTGCTGGAGACTGAGCTCTGGAAACACACCACATTCTTAAGCAATGAGCTGTCTCTGCAGGACATCTTTGTTTATTTTTGTCTTGTGTGTCTCCCTCACTGGGAATCACTGGAAGGATTACTATTCAAGAAATCAATGAGCTGAGTTTCATCTATTCTAAGTTTATTTTCTGCTATACTACTATGGAAAGGGGGGTTCACAGGAGCTTTTTCTTTTCTTTTTCATTTAAAAATCATGTATTTGAGCTGGGCAGTGGTGGCGCACGCCTTTAATCCCAGCACTCGGGAAGCAGAGCCAGGCGGATCTCTGTAAGTTCGAGGCCAGCCTGGTCTACAGGGCGAGATCCAGGACAGGCACCAAAACTACACAGAGAAATCCTGTCTTGGAAAAAAAAACAAACAAACAAACATATATTTGCTGGGCATGGTTGCAGACACCTTTAGTTCTGGCACTCAGGAGGCAAAGCCTGGTCAATCTCTTTGAGTTTGAGGCCAGCCTGGTCTATATATCAAGTTCCAGGCCATCTAGAGCTATATAGTGAGATTCTGTCGAAAGAAAGGGAGGAAGGAAGAAAAGGAGGAAGGGAGGGAGGGGAGGAGAGAGAGAGAGAGAGAGAGAGAGAGAGAGAGAGAAGGAAAATCTCAAGTAATTTTGCTAGATACTGTGGTACAGGTCTGTAATCGAAACACTCTAGTGGCTGAGGCAGGAAGATTTCAAGTATGAGTCTAGCATGGGCTCCAGTTCTCCAGACTGTGTCTTAATACACACACACACACACACACACACACACGCACACGCACACGCACACGCACACGCACACGCACACACACACACACACACACACACACACACACACACGCAGTGCTGGGGAGATGGCTCAGTAGGTAAAGTGTTTCAGTCACAAGTCTGGAGCTGCATGTCAGTCAATTTAGACGATTTGGGAGCTCTAGGTTCAGTGAGAGACCCAACCTCAAAAATAAGTCAGAGGAAGCCAGGGGTGGTGGTGCACTCAGGAGGCAGAGGCAGGCTGCCTGGTCTACATATCAAGTTCCATGACAGCCAGAGCTACATAGAGCGATCCTGTCTCAAAATAATAATAATAAAAAATAATAGTAATAATAATGCAGAGGGGGCTAGACAGATGACTCAAAAGTTAAGAGCATTTGTTGGTCTTGCAGAGAACCAGGGTTCAGTTCCCTGCATACACATGGTGGCTTCAAACCATCCCTAACTCCAGTGCAAGGGAATTCTATGCCCTCTTCTGGCCTTTTCAGGCACCAGGCACACACACTATGCACATACATATACATAAATACATGCAGGCAAAGCACTCATACACATAAAATAAGTAAGTCTAAAAAATAACAATGTAAGCCGAGTACTGGCGCACACTTTTAATCCCAGCACTCAGAGGCAGAGGCAGGTGAGTTCAAGGCCAGCATGGTCTACAGAGTAAATTCCAAGACAGTCAGGCTACACACAGAGAAACTCTGTCTCAAAAAAAAAAAAAAACCAAAAACAAAAAAACAAAAAAAACTTGACCTTTACATTCACCTGCACATACACACAACCTCATAAAAAACTGCACGTGCGCACACACATACATACACACATAAGGCTGGAGAGATGACTCAGTGGTTAAAGGCACTCACACTACTCTTCTAGATGTCCTAGGTTCAATTCCCATGTCCACATGGGGGTCACAACTGTCTATAACTCCACTTTCAAGTGTACAATGTCACCTGCAGGCACCAGGTGCAATACGCTACGCACACATACATGCTGACAAAATACTCATACACATAAAAAATTCTTTTTGAGGGGAGGGGGAGGGCTGGAGAGAGGGCTCATAGGTTAAGAGCACTGGCTGCTCTTCCAAATAGTCCTGAGTTCAATTCCCAGCAACCACATGTAGCTCACAACCATTTGTAACGAGATCTGGTGCCCTCTTCTGGCCTGCAGGCATACATGCAGGCAGATCACTGCATACAAAATAAATAAATCTTTTTTTTTTTTTAAAAAAGAATTTTAAAAAAGGATTTATTTATTATGTATAAAAAAGAACATTTTAAAGATTTATTATGTATAGTGTTCTGTCTGCATATATGCCTGCACGCCAGAAGAGGGCACCAGAGCTCATTTCGGATGGTTGTGAGCCACCATGTGGTTGCTGGGAATTGAACTCAGGGACCTCTAGAAGAGCAGCCCTTGCTTTTAATTGTTAAGCCATCTCTCCAGCCCCACATAAAAAATTATTAAAGTAAAATATAAATAAAAACAAATAAATAGAAATAGGGGTTTCACTCAAAGGAATTAAATTTATTTATTGTTTATTATGTGTGTGTATGGGCATGTTGTTGTTCTGAGGTGCATGTGTGGAGGTCAGATGTCAACATGCAGGACTTTTTCTCTCCTCCCAACATGTGCCCTAGGGACTGAACTCAGGCTTGGCAGAAAGTGACTTAATACAGCCATCTCATCTTCCCCAAAGTATTTTAAAATTTATTCATTTTTTTATGTATATGGGTAGTTTGTGCACCATATGTGTACAGTGCCAGCAGAGACCAGAAGAGACTGGAGTAACAAACAGGTGTGAGCTGCCCTATGGGTGCTGGGAACCAATCAGCGTCCTCCGGAAGAAAAGTCAGTGCTCTCAATTGATGAGCCATCTCCCCAGGCCCAGAATTTGTTTGTTTGTTTGAGACAGGGTTTCTCTGTGTAGCCCTGGCTGTCCTGGAACTCACTCTGTAGACCAGGCTGGCCTCGAACTCAGAGGTCTGCCTGGCTCTGCCTCCCAAGCACTGGGATTAAAGGCCTGTGCCACCTCCACCACTTGGCTTTTTTTTTTTTTTTTTTTAAATTTTATTTATTAGTTACAGTGTTCTGTCTGCATGTATGTCTGCAGGCCAGAAGAGGGCGCCAAATCTCATTATAGATGTTGTGAGCCACCATGTGGTTGCTGGGAATTGAACTCAGGACCTCTGGAAGAGCAGCCGGTGCTCTTAACCTCTGAGCCATCTCTCCAGCCCCGCCCCCCCTTTTTTTTAGTTTTTATTTAAATTTTAATTTCTTTCTTTCTTTCTTTCTTTTTTTTTTTTTTTGGTTTTTCGAGACAGGGTTTCTCTGTGTAGCTTTGTGCCTTTCCTGGAACTCGCTTTGTAGACCAGGCTAGCCTCAAACTCACAGAGATCCGCCTGGCTCTGCCTCCCGAGGGCTGGGATTAAAGGTGTGCGCCACCACCGCCCGGCTAAATTTTAATTTCATTTTATTCATGTCTATTTGTGTATCTGTGTGTCTGTGTGTATGTGTGCCATGTGTGGGTGCCCATGAGATCCAGAAACATCAGACTGATCCCCTGGAGCTGTAGTTATGGACAGCTCAGCTGCCCAACATGGGTGGTGGAAATTTAATTCAAATGTTCTCAAAGCACAATACAATCTCTTAACAGCTGAGTCATCTCTCCAGTCCCCTAAATAAAAATTTTGTAAATCAGGCATGGGGGCGCAGGCCTTTAATCCCAGCACTTGGGAGGCAGAGGCAGGAGGATCTGTGTGTTTAAAGCCAGTCTGACAAGCAAGTTCCATGCCACCCAGGGTTACACAGTGAGTCCTGTCTATAGATAGATGGATGGAGGGATATAATTTAAAATTTTTGCCAAATGGGTGGCAAATACCTGTCATCCCAATGGGTGGAAGCAGGATGGTCAGGAATTCAAGGCCAGCCTCAGTTTCATAGTGAGTTTGAGGCCAGTCAGGGCTACCCTCTACCTGTTGTGGGAATTTTGATCACACTGTGACACTCCCTAGACTGTTAAATAAAGTCTACCTTGAATCAGAGGACAGAACTAGTGACTAGCTAGCCAGAATTGGCCATAGAGAAGCCAGCGATTTGAATAGAGAAGACGAACAGGAAGGAAGGGGCGGGGACTTGAGTTTGGCACTTCTTTTTGGTTTTGGGATGAGTGAAGAGACATGTCTCTTGCTGGGTCTCCAGCCAAAAAGTAAAGTCAGATGGTTGCTTCTCGGCTTCTCTGATCTAGCAGGTTTTCACTCCCACATCTGACTTCCAAGTCTTTGTTGGTAAATAGAACAATAGAGACTTAGTTTAAACCTACATGTTGGGGCTGCAGGACTTGAAGGCCCTCCAGGCCAAGGCCTGAGTGACCGGTGGGGTATTGACTTCCAGGGCCATGGGGCCACAGACGAAAATTAAAGTATCAGTAGATTCACAGATTCATGTGCAGCTGCTAAGCTGACAGAAAAATATCATCTATCTATCTATCTATCTATCATCTATCTATATCATCTATCAATCATCTATCTATCTGTAGATATATATGGGAATTGCCCAGAGGTTAAGACTATCTATCTATCTATCTATCTATCTATCTATCTATCTATCTATCTATCTATCAATTATCTATCTATCTATCTATCTATCTATATCTATCTATCTATATCTATCTATCTATCAATTATCTATCTATATATCTATATATCTATATTTATATCTATATCTATCTATCTATCTATCTATCTATCTATCTATTGATATGGATATACATGGGAGATTGCCCAGAAGTTAAGAACAGTCACAGCTATTGCAGAGAACCTAAGTTCAGTTCCCCATATGGCTGTTCACAAACACCTGGAATTCCAGTTCCAGGGGATCTGATGTCCTTTTCTGGCCTCTGTGGTCTCCTGAATGAACTTGGAATACAAACACTCACGCAAGCAAACACACATACATGCAATTTTTTTAAAAAATCCTTAAAATTATTAAAAAAACAAAAGAAGGCAGGTATGATAGTTCGCACTTGTAATCCTGTCACTGGGGAGCTGAGACAGGCAGATTCCTGGGGCCCACTAGCCAGCCAGCCGAACCCACTTAGTCAGTCCCAGGTCAATTAGAGACCCCCATCTCCAAAACTGAGGTGGACGGTGCCTGAGGTATGACTTCCAAAGTTCATCTCTATCTCCACATGCTCAGGTGTGAACATATATGCATGCAGACAAGTCCACAGCACACGTACACACATACATACACATTGTAGGTCTGACGATCTAGAACAATGGTAGAAGACTTGCCTAGCACGTGTCCCCATTCTGTCCCAACACAGAAGTAAAGAAAAAGAAGAGCTGTCTGGTGGCACAAATCTAAGCAGCTAGGAGGTGGAGAAAGACCAGACAGTCACGGTCAGTTTTGGCTACTTAGTCAGCATGGGCTACTTGAAACCCTATTTTTGTTGGTTTTGACAAGACAGGTTTTCACTAATAGCCTTGGCTAGCTTTGAATTTAAGAGCTCTGCCTGCCTCTGCCTCCCTACTGCTGGGATTAAAGTCGTGCACCAATACAACACCCACCTTGAAACCTTTTTTTTTTTTTTTTTTTTTTTTTGAGATAGAATCTCACATACCCTAGGCTGGCTTTAAACACTATGTAGCTCAGGATGACCTTTACTTCCTATCCCCATCCACCTCCTGAACACTGGGATTACAGGTCCGAGTCATTATGTCCAGTTTCTGTGGTGCTGGTGATTCTGAAACTCCAGCTCTAGGGATCTGATGCCCTCTTCTGGCCTCTGAGGGAAGCCATACACATTCAAACAGACAGGCTCATGCATACATGTGGGGGTCTCTGCACACACTAGGGCCAACAGACTAACAACCCCAGCGAAGCACAAAGTAATTCCAGTCCAACGGGACTCAGCAGCGTGTGCTGGTTCACACTTCAAGAGTCTGACACGGAACAGTTATTTAGGCGTTTCCTTGTAATAATTAACTCAATCCCATGTGTAGACAGAGGTTAAGAGTGCTCACTGCTCTTCCAGAAGATCTGAGTACAGTTCCCAGCAACGGCAGGCAGCTCACAGCTTCCTATAACTCCAGTTCCATATATACATATTATATATTGTATATTTATAATACATGTTTATAATATATTTATATATTTTTATTTTTAAAACATATTTAAAAATATTTATTTTAAAACCAAATTTAAAAGAGTAGACCCATTCAAAGTGTTTAAAGTAAGATTAAAGTGGGCATGGTGTTACATGCTTCTACTCTCAGAACTTGAAAGGGACAAGCAAGAGGACCAGAGTTTCAGACCAGCCTCAGATAGACAGCAAACTTGAAGCCAACCTGGGATACATGAGCCTCTGTCTCAAAATTCCAAAAAGCAACAGAACAAAGAATCCTAGTCCTAAAGTAGATCTTGCTAGATGTAGTGAAGCATGCCTGTAATCCTAGCACTTGAAAGACAGAAGCAGGAAGCTAGGAATTCAAGCCTAGGCTGAGCTAGCTTAGTAAAATGTAAGGGGAAGAATGGAAAATACAAACCTATGTAGCCCAGGATGACCTTAAATATATATAGATATAGATAGATATAGATATAGATATAGATATAGATATAGATATAGATATAGATATAGATATAGATATAGATATAGATAGTTGGGTTTTTTTTCCGAGACAGGGTTTCTCTGTGTAGCCCTGGCTTTCCTGGATCTTGCTCTGTAGACCAGGCTGGCTTCAAACTCACTGAGATCCATCTGCCTCTGCCTCCCAAGTGCTGGGATTAAAGGTGAGCGCCAACACCGCCCGGCTTAAATTTTTTTTTTTTTTTAAGATGTATTTATTATGTATACAGTTCTGCCTGCATGTATGGCTGCAAGCCAGAAGAGGGCACCAGAGCTCACTGTAGATGGTTGTGAGCCACCATGTGGTTGCTGGGAATTAAACTCAGCACCTCTGGAAGAGCAGCCCTAGCTTAACCTCTGAGCCATCCCTCCAGCCCCGACGTTAAATTTCTGATCCTCTTGACTCCATCTCTCCAGTGTCAGGATTAACAGGCATGCACCACCATGCTTAGCTTATCCAGCAAGGATAAAACTCAGGGCTGTGTGCTTGTCAGACAAGCACACTATCAACTGAGTCATATAACCAAATCCCATAAAGTAGATCTGAAATGTTTAAAAGATACAAGGCAAAAATGGACATGGGGGTCTCAGGTCTTTAATTTCAGAACTGCAGAGGCAGAGGCAGACAGAATCCGGTGGGTTGGAGGCCAGCCTAGTCCACAGTGAGTTCCAGGCCAGTCAGCACCACTTAGTAAGACTTAAAAAACACAAAAAAAACAAACTGGATGGAATGCAAGGAGCTGGAGAGATGGCTTAACGGTTAAAAGCACTTCCTGCTCTTCCAGAGGACCTGAGTTCGGTTCGGTACCCAAGCCCTTTGACAACAGCCGGTAAGCCCAGCTCCAGAGAATTAATTTGGCCTCCACTTGTACCCACACACGTGGCATGCACATGCACACACACACACACACACAAATGGAAAACGAAAAAGTCTTTTAGAAAAAGATTAAAAGGCGCCTGGGCAGTGGTGGCTCATGCCTTTAGTCCCAGCACTCAGGAGGCAGAGGCAGGTGGATCTCCGAGTTCGAAGCCAACCTGGTCTACATGTAGACCGAGTTTCAGCATAGCCACAGCTACACAGAGAAATTCTGTCTCGAAAAACCAAAAAAAAAAAAAAAAAAAAAGATTTAAAAGGCAACGCAACATGAGGCTAGATACTAAAATGGAAATATTTAATATATTAGAGAGATAAAAAGGCATTAATAGGTGGAGGAAATAAAATATAAAATAAAATGGAAATATTTAAAACATCAAGATTTCAAAACTAAAAATTAAAATGTTACATATATGAATTTAAATATTACTAGCAAGCCAGTTTTAAGTTTTATTTTAAACGGGCCCCTTCCCGGTCATTCCAGCACTGGCCAGGCTGCCTGCCCTACGAGGGCTGCCACAACCTCAGTGCCATCCTGAGTCCTGCAAGAAGTTCCAGGTTGACCCGACTACAGAGTGGTATCTTATTCCAAAAATCTCCAAATGAGGACCCGTGAGGAGACTCGGTGCGTGTGCCACCAGGTGGGACGAGGGCAGTTCTATCTCCATAACCTGCATGGTGGAAGGAAAGGACCGATTTCCCCAAGTCGTCCTCTGACCTCCACTTATCACCCACACGCCCCTCCTCCAATACATGTATGTATGATGTATGTATGTATGTATGTATGTATGTGTATCTATCTATCTATCTATCTATCTATCTATCTATCTATCTATCTATCTATCTATCTATCTATCCTATCTATCTATCTATCTATCCTATCTATCTATCTATCTATCTATCTATCTATCATCTTTTTCGAGACAGGGTTTCTTTGTGTAGCCCTGGCTGTCCTGGATCTCACTCTGTAGACCAGGCTGGCCTTGAACTCACCGAGATCTGCCTGCCTCTGCCTCCCGAGCGTTGAGATTACAGACGGCGCCACCACGCCTGGCCATACATTATTTTAACAAACTACCGCTCCCTGCATTAAATGTTCACCCACGCTGCATCGACTATGGTCGAGCTGCTCGGCTCCGGGACCTGAGCTCCCCAGCCCCCAACCCCGAGGTTGCCGCCGCGCAGGCAGCGCCCTAGCCAGCTCGCCGCCGCGAGGACCCACAGCCAAGATGGCGGCAGCCGCGACGCCGACGCGCGGCCTCCTGCGGCTCTCGGCGGCTCTGGGTCCCAGGTCCTCCAACTACCATGCGCCGCCACCCCCGCGCCGCCGCCCCGGACCCCAGTGGCCAGACCCGGAGAACCTGCTGAGCCCGCGATGGCAGCTAGGGCCGCGCTATGCGGCCAAGCAGTTCGCGCGGCACGGCGCCGCCTCGGGGGTGCCCCCCGCCTCCCTGTGGCCGTCCCCGGAGCAGCTGCGCGAGGTGGAGGCGGAGGAGCGGGAATGGTACCCGAGCTTAGCGACCATGCAAGAGTCGCTGCGCGCGAAGCAGCAGGCCGAGGAGGCAAGGCGTCGTGCCAGGTGCGTGTATAGGGGCAGGTAACCCACGGCCCCGAAACCACGAACCCTCCAGAAGAGGCGTGCGGAGGCCTCGTGGCGTAGGGTGACATACAGGGTCACTTGGCTGAAAAACAAACTTCTAGGTAAATTCTTGTAGTCACTCAATTGCAGTTTTTGTGTTTTTTACTTTTCCTCTTCCCTTACCACTGAGCTGTATTAACAAGGTCTCACTATTAACCATAATTCATGTTGCCCAGGCTGGCCTTGAATCTAGAATCCATCTGTCTTTACCTTCCAAATATCTGAGATTACAGGCCTGTACCAGGCCCAGTCTCAACTGTTTTATCTTTACTGAATATTCTGTGCAGGAATTTCAAGATGACAAGGGACCCTTGGGAAGACAAAACACGGTTAAGAGTGCATGCTGGGGCCGGGCGGTGGTACGTGCCTTTAATCCAGCACTCAGGAGGCAGGGGAAGGCGGATCTCTGTGAGTTCGAGGCCAGTCTGGTCTGCCAAGCCACTTCCTGGATACAGAGAGACCCTGTCTCAAACACAAAAAAGGGGCAGGAAGCCCACGCAGGAGGACACATCAGTTTGCCCCTCCTTAATGATGTTTAAGCAAAGCCTCATATAACCAGTTATATTTACTGGAAAAATCTCAAGGAGAGAGTTCCCAGTAGCTGGTACAGGTGGTGCAGTTACTGAGGTTGAGCCAAGCCTAGTGGCACATGCCTGTAACTTTGGAGAAGACATGGCTCAGAGGCAAAGGGGAATCTGAGTTTGAGGATGATCCTCACAGCTATTCAGTGAGACCTTTTATCGTAAGTAAACTAGTCATGATGGGCGCACACCTTTAATCCTAGCCATCTGGAGCCAGAGGCAGGTGGATCACTGAGTAAGACTCTGTCTTTAAAAAAATGTCAGGCAATTGGTGATGGTGCACCCAGCACCCTGGTGGCCGTTCTCTGTGAGTGAGATCAAGGCCAGCCTTTACAGAGTTCCAGGGCAGCCGGGACTACACAGAGAAAGCCTGTCTTAAAGAAAGTTGATTTTAAAAACTATGTAGGAGTGTGCCCTGAAGCACTAGGCCAGTGTGGCTGATGCCAGTAGTGCTGGGTTCTGAAGTCCAGGGCAGACATCTGTGAAGGAGGAACCTGTGAACGAAGAAGGCAAGCCACACAGACGTTTGGACGATGCCCTGACAATGCAGGGTGCAGGGCAGGTGAAATGTGCTCCTGGTATTTAACCTTGCCCTCTCAACAACTCTGAAAGGACAAGATCACCCTTTTCACAGATTAAACTGAGGCCTGGAGAAGCCATGTCGGCTGTCCAGAGTCATGCTGGCAGTGAAGGATGGAGCTGGTCCCCCATCTGTCCCACCCCAGCTGGTTGGCCCTGTCCTGCCATAAGGCATGATTCCTTCAGTTTTCCTGTCTCAAGACTGAGTGAGATGAGTGGACCTACTAATTCTCAGGACTGGAAGAAAACATCCCGTTGTCTCTGTGCCTGCATGTGGACCTGGCAGACACAGCATGTGCAGTCAAGGAGGGCAGCCACGACACAGGCATGAGGATGGTTTAGTAGACAGCTCGGTGAACAGGGATGCCTTGGTCTGCCCCTCACTGTCTGCTTTCCTCCGCAGGGAGCAGCACATTGCAGAGTGCATGGCCAAGATGCCACAGATGATTGAGGACTGGCGACTGCAGAAGCGGGAACGCTGGGAGAAAGCTCAGGCTGACAAGGAGCGCAGGGCCCGGCTACAGGCTGAGGCCCAGGAGCGCCTGGGTTACCATGTGGACCCAAGGAGTGCCCGCTTCCAGGAGCTAGTACAGGACCTAGACAAGCAGCAGCGCAAGCGCCTCAAGGAGGAGAGACAGCGGCAGAAGAAGGAGGCACAGGCTGCTGCTATGGCTTCTGCTGAAGCCCAGGACCCAGCAGGGTCTGGGGAACCCAGCTCCTGAAAGCCCCTTTCCCAATAAAGCCTGCTGCTGACAACCCCTGTTCTACATTCTCCTTCAGGTTGTGACTTTCCTGGGTCCCCTGGCTCGTTCCCCAACACCTGGGCTGTGTTCACACCTGGACACTAGACCATGCCGTGAACTTGGGCTTCAGGGACAGAGCAGAGGGACTGGATGAGCAAATAATGAAGGAGCAGATGGCAGTGGAGAGGAAGGCTTCTGTTTACCAACATTAATCTCCAGTAATTAGCCAGTTACCAAGGGCGAGTACAGCCAGACAGCCTGCATGATAGAGGGAGCAGCAGCCCGTCTAGGGCTGAGCTGGGGCGGGGCCCAAGGTTCCAGAGGGCGGAGATGCTGGGGCCCTCATGGGAGGCTCAAAGGCCTTGTCCCACTTCTCAGCACGTCCATGTCACCTGTGCCCCAGCAGCTCACAGATGTGAAGCTGGTGTGAGAAGCTCCAGCAGGCATGCACCATTATTAGGGCTCATTTTTAAAACTTTATTCACTTCAAAACCTTTATCAGAGATGTGGTTCTGTCCTGGGGTAGGGGTGGCCTTGGCCTTCAGAACTGATGTTACCTCCTCTCCAGGCTGAAGGCCAGGCTGGAAGAAGGCCTTGGGCTTCTAATGAACTCACTCCAGATGGAAAGATTTGGGCCACTCCAATGGAGGATAAAGTTTAGGGCTCCAGCTTCCCCTCATCATGGAGGAGGGAGGTGGGTTGTCCTTAGGGATGCTTCAGGGGATGGGGAAGCAGGCAGGCGCCTCTCCATCTGGCTGCAGGGAGCTGGGACAGAGGCCAAAAGGGGCCCATCTGTCGCCTCCTGGTTTTGCCAGCAACTTTGAGCAGGCTGGGCTCTGTTAAGAGGATGGGGACAGCTGTCTGGCCCAGGTCTTGTCGGACTGAGATGGGAATAGGGGCCACTTCAGGAAGGTAGGAATCTGGGCTAGGTATTTTTTCTTCTCTCTTTTTTTTTAAATTGTTTTTGATTTTTTTCTTCCTCTTAAATAAACATGAATATATATATGTGTGTGTGCGTGTATGTATACACATGCACGCGCACACACACTTTCTTCTTTTATAAAACTTTTGTGGAGTGGGGTGGGGGCATTCTATCCTCACAGCATCACTCATCATCAAAGTTCTGACTCAGGAGGAAGTTGGCAGCCAAGTTCTCATTTTTTTCACACGCGAAGTAGGCCTGGATCACCAGGCTCTCTGGAAAGCCCAGCGCCTTCAGCTGTGGGAAGATGGGCAGGGGTAAGAAGGAGGGAGGCACGGGGCTACCCACCATGAGTGGCCCTTCAGCCAGGCCTCTTACCCTTTCTATAGCTTCCTTTTCCTGCGGTGTCACCTGGATATAGTTCATCTGTGGGGCCTCCTCACCTATGGCACCAACCTCCCCCTCTACATCAGAGATGTCCGCCAGCTCTCCAGGGGGCTCATTCAACATCTGGATGAACTGCTCCTGGTGACGGCTAATTTGCTGTGAGAAAAAGGAGAAGGATGACAACCCACAGTCATTGACATGTATGCCTAGATCCCATTACAGCCCTTGCTTAAACACTGGCTAACACTCTGAAGGTACCTGCTCTGGCCAAACAGCCATGTAGCCATGGCTAAGCTGGGGAGATGGGCATGATGGCGCACGCCTTTAATCCCAGCACTGGGGAGGCAGAGGCAGGTGGATATAAGTTTGAGGACAGCCTGGTCTACAGAGGAGTTTCAAGCTAGCCAGGGCTATGTTTTGTCTCAATTACATGTTTCAATAAGACAAACAAAAAAGTAAATAAATGTACCAAAGCTAGGCATGGTGGTTCATACCGGTAATCTCAGCACTTGGGAAGCTGAAGCAGGAGGATCACCATGAGTTTGAAGCCGGTCTAACCTATATAGTGAGACTAAAGAAAAAAGTTCAAATCAAGTAACTGCAGATACGCTAGTTAAGTCACTGAGGCTTTGTGGGAGGGACCAACGTCTTACAGGAAAAGGGGAGCTTGCCTCTGGCTAAAACCAGCACCAAGTGGAAGTGTCCTGGGGTGGATCTCCTGGGCAAGGCTCAGAAGAGCTCTGTAGCACCAACAGCACAGAAAGCCTGGGGAGACCTTTCTCCTGGGGCTGTGGGAAGCCACAGTGGCAGACAGGCAGTACCTACTTCTCTTTGTGGTGGTGCAAGTGAACCCAGGCCTCAACCTAAGCACAAGCACCCCACTACTGAGGCACACTCTTATCCTGTGCAACCTTTATCTTCTTTCTTTTTTGAGATGATCTCACTAACAGAAGGAGCTGGCTTCAAGGTCAGTGATCCTCCTACCTCAGCCTCCTAGTGCTGGCCTTACAGGTTTGCACTACCACACTCAGCCCTGAAACTATGAAATACTCGACTTAGAAACCTAGAGGTTCTGATGCAGCCCTCTGCTTCTGCACACATATGACTATTTTCACATTAAAAATGACCTTTCCAGCAATCTGGCTTCTTGGACAGTTCACAGGGGCACTGTGTAGAATCAGGAGACATGAGAGGGGGATGCCAAGACACTAGGTGGGAGACGTGCTGCCAATGGGGTAGAAGCAGAGACAGTTCCCAGGAGGCTACCAGAGGCTCAGGGCAGAAACAAGTGGGCCTGAAAACCCAAGAGGTCCAGGAAGTCCTCTCACAGCTCAGATGAGCATTCCAGGGCTTCTGGTGTGATGACTGACACAGGTTCAAGTCAGCACACAGAGGGTCAAGGTGATGGTCAGATCAGGAAGAAGGCCAGGAATGAGAAGCAGGAAGAGGATCTACAGGTACAGCAAGAACTCAGGAGAGCGCTATGGTTAGAGTCCAGGACCCAGACATATGGCAGCCTGCTCTGGGCCTGACCTCTTCAGCAAGGGGATGTCAACAGCACCCACACCTTGTGGGAGTCCGATTACATATAACCCTGTAGGTCTTCAGGGAGCAAGGGACTGGGTCTGTGCTAGTTCTGCTTTCTTAGAGCAAAGCTAGTCCCTGGGTGATCCCCTAAGGAACTAGAAAAGGCATCTGTCTCAGTTCCCTCACCCTGGGCCGCACCTGCAAGAGCTGAGGGTTCTCCTGGCCCAGTTGCTGGAGTAGTGCAGGGAGCAGCGCTGGGTTCTGCTGAATCACTTGCCGCATGTTCTGGAACTGGGGCTGGTCCCGCAGGAACTCCAGGGGGTTTTCCCCTGCTAGTGACAGGAAGAGGTGTGGTGAGACCCCTGCAGGGGCTCCTGAGTCTAGACTGTAGATGCCCACATGCACATCATCCATCCTGCTCACCTGCTTCTGTGGCCGGCTGTTCGGGTACCTGGCTCTCCTGGACAGAACCATGTTCTGGTTCGGGGCTTCCGGGAATTCCCTGTCAAGGATCCTGCTTTTTAATTCTCTCCAACAGACCCACTTCCCCCTCCCAAGTGACCAGCCTGACAGGAGACTGGAAGGCCTCATCCCTGCCCTCCATGCTCTCTGTCCAGGCTCTTTTGGAAGCCTTTAGTGGCAACACACGATACCCAAGATCCTATGGGGTAGGATCTACCTCCACTGACTGTTGAGGCACCACAACCTGGAGACCCCCTCACCGTGAGCAAGTACTCCACAGCTCTGTGGGGGTTGTTGTAGCTGGCCCTCAATGCGGCCACAACCCGCTCCCGCTCGTAGCCCATGGACATGATCTCAGTCAACATCGTCTCATACTCAGAGCCAGTCACTGTGGAGGGAGCAGCAGGGCCTGGGTCACCAGGAGCACAGAAGGGCAGCTCCCAGACCCTCCCATACCCAGACAAGGCTGTCAAAGGCTGATAGCTGGGGCTCCCAGTCACCTCTGCCCTGAGGACCACCCACCCACCTAATGTGGAAGCTGCGTCTTCCTCTCGCCCGCTGCTACCTGAAGAGGGAACAGAGCTGCAAATTCAAGAGAGAGAAATCGGACCCTGGCTTCTGGTGGCTTGCCCTCCCCGCAAGTGCATGGGACCACACTGGAAGGAACAGAAGAAGGGCACAGGTAAGGCTACTGTTCTTCCTTACCCAGAAATGGACTCTGGAGATGTTGGGGTGGCTGAATCCTCTGATGGGCTCTTGTCCTCTCTGCTGGTAGGTGGAGGATGGGACATGCCTGATGCCGGAGCTGGAGGGAAGGGTGTAGAGGACTCCGGGGCGGCAGTGGGTGAGACCTCTGGGGGTGCTGGAGTACCTTGGCCAGCCTTGGCCTGTGACAGCAAGAAAAAGGGATCAGGCAGCAGCATCCCTATCAAGCCTCAACATTCTGCCCCACCACAGCCCCACCTTGCCTATGGCTAATCTCTCCTAGGCACACAAGGTCTCTGCCAGCATCCCAGCTAATCTACCCACCTTGGTCACCATGACAACCACAAAGTTCTTCTCATCTATATGGTATTCCTTGATGGGGACGTCATCACTCAAGATCTTGCCAGCATAGATGAGTTTCTGTCCAGCCACAGGGAAAGCATCCCTGCCCTTCTCAGCCTCTATCTTCTCTTTCAGTGCCCTCACCTGGAATAAGGAATACAGGCATCAAAAACAGGACTTTAATAGTGTGGTGTGTGTGTTCACAAATAGCACTCTAAGATACCCTCAGTGAAGTCGAGGAAAGGTTGTGCACACACTTAATCCCAGCACTTGGGAGAGACAAGTGGATCACTTTGAGTTCCAGGTTAGCCAGGGATATACAGTGAAACTGTCTCAAATAAAATAAAGACTCCTTTCCCGACCCTTTTACTTTAGGGAAAAAGCTTTGCTCTCATCATGAGATCCCTATTCAATCTGGCCAGCTGACAGCAATCGATTACAGGCCAGACACTGAAGCTGCTCATGTTGTGTGTGTGTGTGTGTGTGCATGTGCGTGGTGGCGGCGGCGGTTTAGGGATGGACCCAGGGCCTGTATATACTAAGTGTTCTACAAGAGCTCCATCCCCAAACCCTCTTTTACAACAGCTTGTGGAGCAGAACAGAACTCAAGTCAGTCACTGTTCTCCTGGAGAAGAAAAGCAAACTTGTATTTCAGATGCCATGTGGTTGAGAAGGGAAAGCGCAGTAAAGAAATGAAAGGGTCTACCCACCGCTGGCCTCCAACTGTTCTGTACTTATTGAGGACATCCTTTTTCCCTCCGTTTTTTTGTAATAGGGTCTTATTCTGTAGCTCAGGCTGGCCTGGAACTAAAAACAATCCCCCTGTCTTAGCCTCAGTGTTCAGGGTTTATATACATGACCATCACGCCTAGACTTCACTGGGGGTATACAAGTGGCTTCATAGTATAGAAGATTCAGGGGAGATGGCCCAAGTCAGTACTACCACCTACTTGGGAGGCTAAGGCAATACAGATCACTTGAGCCCAGAAGTTCAAAGCCACATTGGATAACAAGACCCCACGCTCAAAAAGCAAAAGCAAACAAAAGTTCACGCAGCATGTTTAGGCTGCTGTCTGTTAGATGAAACTGAAAGCATTTTAACCCTATCTCTGCCAATACTTGCTGTGACCATGGTAAAGTTCCTTAACTCTGATGTTGTCAAACGGGGAACGTCAGGAGTCCCCAAAGGACAACACTATTTTGCAGATTCAGCAAGATGACACTGGTAAAGAATAAACGGCCAATAAACACGGACTACCAAAACTATTAAGACCATTTATTATCATCAACACTGTTGTCACCAGTTGGCACCTCTTAGCCACTGATGCCAACCTGGGCCATCCGAGCAGCTTGCAGGCTGGGAACGCGGAGCCGGCGGCTAACACCAGAGCGGGCCTGGGGACTCGCCCTGGGGCCAGCCCGGGAATGGTGCCCGAGTCGCCGGGGCAGGGCAGACTCGATCGGGGGAATCCGAGGAGGTCGGGCAGCTGGGGAAGGGGAGCAGGGTCCGGCCGCACGTCCTCCCCGCCCCTCCCGTTGGATCCGGGCCTCCCTGCCCCCACCCACTCTGGCACCCGGTTGCTCCCGCCCCTGGGCTCCGGCCCGCACCGTCTCCTCAGGCTCCATGCGTATCTTGAAGGTCTGCTGCTGCAACGTTTTAAGTGTGATGGTGACGGCCATGGCGGGGCCGGAGCAATGCGGCAGCCCGGGATCCTCGTACAACATGCAACTCACGCCGCGGCCATCTTAGCGCCCAGCTGCGCCGTGCTCCAAGCACTTCCGGGGCAAGTGGGAAGCGCGCGTATATCGTCAGCTTGTGTGACCCGCCTGTAACCACTCCCTGACCTCTAGAGCATGCGCGGTAGCACTTCCTTACCTTAGACATGCGCAAACAATTCAGCTTTGAGCTTTGCAGTGGACATCATGTCGCCTGGATGACGTCATGCCTGTCAATAGTGATGTCATATGCCCGCAGTATGACATAAGCCCCCCCCAACTCCAATTTTTATGGTATTGGTTATATATATATAGTGACCTAATTCGGATCTGGCCAAAGGAACCCCGCAGAGCACTGCTAAATTACTCCCTCAAGCCTAGAAACAAGGGAAGTTACCATAAATCTCAAAGGCAGAAACAGGGTAACTTATGTGACTCCATTTTCAAGGACTACCTTATTAACTTTTGGGGATAGACTCACTTCTAGTTCATGGGTCCCCTACCTCTTCGTAATCTCCAATGACTGACCGTTCATTAAACACCTTAAAAATATTTAACGTTTTCAAGGCTCCTTACAATAATTCTTCCCTCCATAGATTCCCCTTGCTTGCACCCTCATTTTTCCAGAAGATAAAAGCTATTTTAAGAAGCCTTAGGCCACCATCACATACTAAAAGGTAATGAAAACGTCAGACTTGGAAGGCTGGGGCAGCTTATCCAGCGTGATTTAAGGGGCTAAAGTGAAGCTATGCTTAAGCGCTCAGTAAACAGTACATGAAAAGCATCAACATCCTCTTATGCCAAACTGACCACTTAACAACTCACTACTTTACAGCTTGCTTTGCTGAATGTTTCTAGCCACACCAGTGAACAGTCAGTCACCAAAGACCTGCCTCCCTTGAGTCACCAGAGCAGCCTAGACTTCTTCAGAATTGGCAAGGTTCTGGCAAAGGGCTAGATCAATTTCCTTCTAAGAACACAGGCCTTCTGCCTACTTTCCAACTGGAGTTTAAATGACAACCTTGTGACTCAACAGTGAAGCACAGTCCCCTGAAACCCATTTCTTTCTCGTGGTATGGCTGGAAGCCAGGGCATGCTAGGTAAGCCCTCTCCAACTGAGCATAACCCAGTCCTTGGACCAATCCCTTTTCTATCAGCTCAGTCCTAGAAACATGGGCCCTTGGGTTAAGCCAGTCACTCTGAATTTAGTTCCTTGACTGTAAAATGAGCTACCAGCATTCACCCCACTAATGTGAGGTTTGAAATTGCACAACTATCCTATGCAGTAGTCTCAGAAAGTAGACCAAGAACCCCACTGTAACAAGACTGTTAGGATTAAGGCTCATTTCATATATCTGCCCCAGTAGTCACTAAGCTCTAGCCAGCAGTCAGTCTGTCAATCACGTCTGTTGCCAGGACAAGGGAATTACTTACTATAGGGAGTTCGGGCATCAAAACCTGACAGCTGCTCTCCCGCTTGAAATTACAGGATTATATATATATATATATGTGTGTGTGTGTGTGTGTGTGTGTACATACACACACACACACACACACACACACACACATCCATGTCATTTTGTGGGACTCTGCCAACTCTAATAGCTCAAACATGAGCCACAAGCACCCCGAAAGGCCACTTTTGATTCCCTGACGTACATCCTCCCAGAGAAGGAGACACGGTAGGGAAGACACAAAACTTAATTTAATAGAAATTTTGTTGGTAGTTCTTACACTCTCAGTGTGAGCTGTGCAGAACTGGCTGCCCCACAAGTGGCCCAGTCCTGGGGGCAAGGGAGAAAGGGGATGAGAAGACCCCCATTCTTCCTCAGTGCTGGGGGTGGGGGGGACACCACCCCTTTCTCCTGCCCTCCTCTGAGATCCAGGAAGGAGAGCAGATTGAAATATCAAGCCTAGGACTTTTCCTCCACATGGAGTTGGAGGGTAGTGACCACGGGTTGAGAGATAAAGGGACACAAGGAAAAGATGTTGATTCAAATGAGAAGCCAGGAGGTGAGGGCTGAAGGAAAATTAAGACAAACACCAGTAAAAAAAAATGGGGGGAGGGGGGAACAGAATCAGAATCCACCCCAGATCTGAACCTGCCTGGAAAAAAATGAAAAGTTCCTGAGTCTCATAGAGACATTATTGGGAGCAGCCAGCTCTGCAGTGGGGTGTTCAGGCCTCAGTCCAGCCCTGGAGGCAGGTGGTATGGCCTCTACAGCTCATCCTTGGCCTGGCCAGTGGCATCCTCCTCATCTTCCTCCTTCTCATCCTCATCCTCATCATCTTCATCTCTGTCATCTTCATCCTCTTTGTCCTCAGCCTCTTCCTCCTCTTTACGCTTCTTGTCTTCTTCTTCTTCCTTCAGCCTCTGCTCCTCATCCTGCTTGTCCTTCATCTGCTTTTCAGAAGCCTGTGGGGACGGACCACACCGGTTTAGTACCTGGCTCTCACCTGACTGTCAGTCCCTCCAGCTGACCCCTAGTAAGACAAGAACCCTGGCTCACCTTGGTGACACCCCATGTCTCATTGCCAAACTCCTCTGCATAGGCCTCATCGTTAGTGATGAGGAAGTTGTCAAAGATTGTGCCGGACTTGACCTGGGGAAGAATGGAAAGACAGATGGTCAGCAGTGACTTCTGACAGCCTTGGCTCTGAACAGGGCTCTATTTCCACCCTGTGGGGTAGCAGGTGTATGTAGTAGGACATGCCTTTAATCCTAGCACTAAGGAGGCAGAGGCCAGACTACTTATAGAGTTCCAAGCCAGCCAGTTTACAAAGTGAAACCTTGTCGTTCCTCCCACCCCCAAAAAGGGGGGGAGGTTGTGCAGTGGGAAGACAAGGAGGAAAGAATTCCAGGCCAGATTGGGCTACAAGGTGAATTCCAAGACAGCTGAGGATATATATGAAGACCAGTCTGCCACAAAAATCTTTAATAATAATAATAATAATGGTATGACGGGGCTGGAGGGATGGCTCAGCGATTAAGAGCACTGCTTGTTCTTCCAGAGGTCCTGAGTTCAATTCCCAGCAACCACATGGTGGCTCACAACCATCTGTAACGATGCCCTCTTCTGGTCTGCAGGTGTACATGCAGATAGAGTACTGTATACATAATAAATAAATAAAATCTTAAAAAAAAAAAGAGTATGACACTGGGGATACTGCAGTTCAAAAGCTATGCTTTCAGGACTGAAACCTCTGTCCTAGTGACCTGTGCTATTGACTTCACTTTTCACACAACTCCTTCCTCTGTAAAAACAGGCACACTGGGGACTTTTTCAGGTACCAACTTAACTTTAACACATGCCAAGAATAGTCCTGGGCACAGAAACCATACCAGTGACAAAAATTCAGTACCAGTGGTTTTTTTTTAGGTTTTTCTTTTTTTTAGTCTTGTTTCATTATGTGGCCAGGGTGGTCAGAGTTCTAATTGGGGCGATTTGAGATTTTGCACACGTACTTCAACAAAGTAGCCCTGCAGAAAGGTGCTCAGTGGGGCAAAATAAAGGCACTTGCTGCCAGAGTTGATTCCTAGGACACACATGATGAAGAGAACCAACTTCTCTTAGTTTTCATGACCTCCGTATGTGTAGTCACATAAATGCAAAATAAGTAAAAATGTATTAAGAATAAAACCAACTTTCTCACCAGGTGGTGGTAGCACACACCTTCAATCACAGCATCTGGGAGGCAGGGGCAGGCAGATCTGAGTTTGAAGCCAAGCCTTGGTCTACAGAGTGAGTTCCAGGACAGCCAGGGCTACACAGAGAAACCCTGTCTTGAAACCCAACCCCTACCTCCAAAAACCCCTAACTTTCTCTTTTGCTGTGAAGAAAAAGGAGATAAAACAGGAAATGCCTCCTAAAATGTACTGTTTTGGAGTCTGGACCCCTTGAGGTTGGTGCCTGTGCCTATTCTTCCCTCCAGATCTACCAGTATGATCCTCCAACTTGAGGTTTCCCAGGGATCCTTGTCTTTCCTGTGCCTCACCTGCCAGAGATCTAGGCCTAGTACAGCAAAATTATCATAGGCATAGATGTTGGCATCCGGGGAGTACTCAGGGTTGTCAATTTCTGGGTGTATCCAGGTACCCTTGTAATCTGGGTTGTCAATCTGACGTGGCTTCCACTCGCCCTGCAGAAGAGAACCAGATGAGCAGAGGTGGACATACTCCTCAGCACAAACAACAACCCTACTTAGACCCCCAAAGCCCATCTTGTTTTTGTTTCTGCAATGCAATTTTAAGGACAGCCACAGGCAAGCATCCCTCCAGTGAGCCACACCCCACCACTCGGCTTACCTTGTACTCAGGATTCTGAATGACTGGTGGTTCCCACTCCCCATCCATCTCTTCATCCCAGTCCTCAGGCTTCTTAGCATCAGGGTCAGGGATGTGCTCAGGCTTGTCCCAGTCCTAGGAGTGCACATGGAGATCAGAGTGAACTCAGGTGTCCTCCACTCTGTGATGGTGGTGGAGCCACCGTTCAAGCACCAACCTCAGGTTTAGAATCTGTGGGGTCATCAATCTTGGCTCGTTCATCCCAGTCTTCCGGCTTGGCAGCATTAGGATCCTTTATCTTCTTGGGTGGCAGAAAGTCCCAATCATCCTCCAAGGAGCCTGACTCCACCTGGCTGTTGTCAATTTTCACCTCATAGGTGTTGTCTGGCCGCACAATCAGCGTGTACAGGTGTGTGAATTCATCATCCTGAAGAGGGAAGGTGGTGAGCAGCCCCTTCACCAGGCTACTGCCTGGGCCTCCCATGACAGCCACTTAAATGACTACCCCAGGCACACCTTACACCGGATATCCTTGTTGATCAGCACATTCTTGCCCTTGTAATTAAAGATGACATGAACCTTCTTGGTGCCAGGACCGCAGATGTCGGGACCTATGTAAGAAGCATATCCAGGCTGTCTACTAAGGCAGGCTCTATCCCTCTTCATGAAAGACCTAACTTCAACTTTCATGTGTATCTGTACCATGCATGTGCAGGAGCCTGCAGAGGTCAGAAGTGGGCACTGGATCTTATGTCACCCAACAAGATAAAGGATTCTGATACTACCTACCAT